TGTTAGCCTGAGAATGAGCTATTCATTAGCTAAATCCACTCCACCTCACTCACTCATTCATTTGCAACTCTCCCCCCTCATTCATTAGCTGAAGAACAAGGACGAACCCTAGAACTAGAGAGAGAAAGGATTGGAGATTGGATTAGAGAAGGAAAGGAAGAAGAGGAAGAGAAGCACCAGCATCACCTCATGGATAACCTCAACATCCTTAACTTCATTCATGGTGAGCTCAAGAAGAGTAACTCTCATTTCTTGGATTTCTCTTCAAAAACCTAACTTATGGTTCTTGGTGCAAGATTAAAGATTTCTTGCTAGAGGTGGTTCCATCATATGTAGAGTAAGTTCAAGAGATGTTCACTGAGCTCAATGACCCATGCATCCCTTGGATTTCTTTTGATTCATCTTTTGGAATGTTTTGCAAGAGAAAGCTCATGAGAGGTTAATTCCCCTTCTTGGATGTGTAAACAAGGACATAAGGAAGTTAGATCTTCAAGTTTTTGGCTACGGAAGCTCTCAAATCTCAGAGCTAAGTCCTCAATCTCAATCTCATGATTTATTCTCTATTTTCTCATGTTTTTGGTTTTTTTCCAAACCCATAGCTACACTTAGTAAACCTAGCTCAAACTTAACCATCTTGAGCCTAGTAAGTCACCTAAGCTACCCTAGGAATTTCTTACACATGCATGGATCACAACTTAGCACATTTAGGATTAAAACCGAAGAAAACCAATGAAAAGCTATGAACATAGGTTCTGTCGACCATTTGACATTGCGTCCGTTAGAACCGAGGGAGAGTCCTTCAATCCCAAAAGTTAACAACTAGAGACATATTACCTTTTGGAGTGTACCACTGGAGAGTCTACGGCATCCAGCGGAGCGTCCGTCAATAAGGTTAGTGATCAGAAAACCTGAGAGCACCCAGCAGTGGGAGAGTCCATGACTTCCCACGGAGGGTCAGCTGAATTATAAACCTAGACAACCAGAAAACCGAGAGTTCCCCATTTTCACCGGAGTGTCCATGAATTGGCTCAAACCGTCCGATGAAGGTTGTAAACCTAGGAATGCCTAAGTCCTAAACCATCTGAACGTTCTTCGAAATATTCCGCAAGGTAATGGAGTGTCCGTCACCTTCGACGGAGAGTCTGTCAATCCTAACAGAGTCAAACCAGAACCAAGTAGCCTCGAAGCCCAAACCTACGGAGAGTTCGCCACCTATAGCGGAGGGTTCGTCAATTAACATAAGGTGTGTAATTGTTTAAAAAACTTACCCAAGAGGTCAACAATACTAGAACAAGCTTAGTTATAAATAGTGTAATAGCAGAGCCCTGTTAGACATCTCTTCCCAAGTTCCAAATCAAGTCTCAGATCTCCATATCTATATCTCTCTACCGATTATTTTCAATTTGTTCCTCGTTTCTTTTAGGATTCGTTACGTATGTGAGGAATGTGTACCAGTCGTCATCGTGGGATTCAAATTGTTCGATTGGCATAACCAGGCAGGCACGCCACTATTATAAGCCCTATTTTGGATGCTTACTATTGCCACATTATGACTTGCATTTCATCTGATCATGAATTAATAACCAAACTAATATTGCTTCATTAACTTAGAACTACTCAACAACCATCTAGAGCCTTCCACTTAATCAACCGAGATGGGAACGCTTAAATGCTTATTTGCTTAGCTTCTTTAAAAGTCAAGTTTGAGAAGGGAACTCATCCTCGCACGTGTAGGATACTGCACCGGGCTAATTAATTACTAAAATGTTGTGAGGGTTACAACCTACCTACTTCCCTAATCTTGACTAAGAACCAACCCTAATTTGAATGATTATATTGATGATCAATTTGGTAATCTCTGCTTATGCGAGGGGTAAGGTCACTATGGGTGTTGGATCCCAAGAGGTGTAGCTCGCGGAGCACCTAAGGACCGTTCATTGGGATAGTGAGTCCGAGTAATAAAAAGTACAGACCACCTGTCGCATATGAGGGCGACAAGCCAAGTAACTAACTGCGACTGGTCTATCCGTGAAACTGGCACGAGGGTGGCGCCAGGTAGATGGTGGTAGCACTACCCGGGAACTTATCAACCCTTTTGTGGATATTCTGGCCGGGTTAGGGAAAGGTTGGATACGTGAGGCAACCATTACCCTTGCGCACATGTATGGTGGTTAGTCCGGTTCTTCTATGTGGGTACAGTTGTACACCTCTATAGAGTTCAATTGAAAGCCTGTAGTTCTTTGGGACAGAACTGATTGCTCTTTCTTCTAGACCATTCACTAGTATAGAAGAGCTCATTACTGGCGGTTCCAAAGCTATTTCTACAGGCGTCTGTCAGTACCGCCAGTGGTAAAGGCCAGTAAAAATCGCGAACTTCACATGCGTCTTCTACAGAACCGTCACTACAAATGATTTACACTAGCTGTTTTCTTAAGAAAACCGCCACTATAAATGATTTTACACTGGCTGTTTTCTTTAGAAAACCACCACTACAAATGATTTCAAAAATTATAAATCGGGCTTAAAAATAGCAAAAAAAAAATTAATCCAGAGAGACACCCACCCGCTCTGTCGAATTCACAAGTCACTGTATTTTTCGCGCACTTCGCGGCCAGCAGGATTTGAACCCGCGACCTCCACCTCGCGCGATACTGCTCTAACCACTGCACCTCACACTCACTTGTGTTTATAATGGATTTTTCTTTCTCCTCATATTATCCTCAACCAAGTTTAAATTGATTGTTTGGGACCCTAAATGAGTTCAAATCAAAAAGTTATTAACTACAAAGTTGCATAACTTTTCGAGATCTACAACTTTTATTTTGGTTGTTTCTCCATCCGAGGTCGTTTGAAAAATTTAAATTTTAAATTGGAAAAATTTAAACATAGTTTTCCTTGACAAGATGACTTTATATGAAAAAATTGTCAACTATAAAGTTGCATAACTTTTTGAGTTCTACAACTTTCATTTTTGTTGTTTCTGCATCCGAGGTCATTTAAAAAAATCAAATTTCAAATTTGAGAGATTCAAACGTAGTTTTCCGCGATAAAATGATTTCAAATGAAAATGTTGTCAACTACAAAGTTCTAGAAATCATCCAGATCTACAACTTTCATTTTGTTCATCTTTTCATGTGACTTGGTTTGAACAATTTAAATTTTGAAACAACAAATGATTTCGGTTGCAAAAGTCATCAACAACAAAGTTGTAGAACTCATCAAGGTCTACAACTTTTATTTTGGTCATTTCTTCATCCGATAAAGTGATAGTCTACATTGTTTATAAATTCATAAATCTCTCACATAGTTTATGAAACTATATAAGAGATATGTTATTTTGTGAACAATGTTTACTACCACTTTGTCGGATGAAGAAATGACCAAAATAAACGTTATAGATCTTGATGAGTTCTACAACTTTTATGTTCATGACTTCTTTAGCTGAAATAATTTGATGTTTCAAAATGCTGTTTGAAGTTATAATTTTTGAAACTCAAATGTTCACGAGAAAAGATGACCAAAATATTAGATGTAACAACACAATAAATTGATAGAGCATGATTTTACAAAATTTTAGGGAAAAAATCAAGTAATTTAAAGATATTATGAGAAAGAAAGACTAGTTATAAGTTTTACCCAAAGATTAAAAAGAGAGATCAGAGTTCTTCTACCATTTAAAAATTTCTACCATTTAAAAATTAAATTTCAAACAGCATTTTGAAACATCAAATGATTTCAGATGGAAATGTTGTAAACAACAAAGTTCTATAACTTATCGAGATCTACAACTTTTATTTTGGTCATTTCTCCATCTGTGGACATTTGAAAAATTCAAATTTTAGTACTTAATTTTTAATATTCAACGTCTATTTGTAGTGACACTAGGTTATGAAAACCACCACTATAAATACATTTTTATTGGTCGTTTTCTTAAGGCTACCGCCAGTAGAAATCATATATTTTTACTGACAGTAAACTTAAGAAAACAGCCAGTAAAAATGAATTTACACTGGCAGTTCATGATCTGGACCCACAATTTTATTTCTAGTGGCGCCTGCTCTTTCCGTACTGCCAGTGAAAAAAAGGTGGCTCTAAGAGAAAGCACCAGTGTACTAGTGATTGTAGAGATAATGTTGAATGGAAGCTTGAGATGGATTAAAGTGTTGATCACTTTAAGTGTGCTATCTTCTACTACTTGTCATAACACCACTAGCTAGCTTATTAATGAATCATGAGCATGTCATCCTTTAATAAACGCAATTGCTTCTCTGCAAATGTACAAATGCCTGATAATATTCTTGCATCCACCAAATATTTATGTGTTGGAATTAAGTCCTGCGAGTACGGAATGTACTCACGGTGCTGCCGTTAAGTTGTTTTGCAGGTATTTCCAATTCGGTTGATTTGAGCCAATGCTCACTCCACCGAAGGCTAGTAGACCTTGGAACGGGCGATTCCGAGATGTGCTGCATGTTAACGCCGATAAATTTCGAGCGAGTTCGTACGGAGACAAACCATAGGGGGTCAATCAGTTGTATAATATTGTTACCTAAATAACTTGGTTAGTTCTATTCAACTATCCTAAGTTGATAGCATGATATCTCCTTTGTGTAGTAGTGAGATGGAAATTTGCTTGAATTGCTACAGCATGAAATGGAAAGCGACTAGAAGCACATTTCCATCGTGGTTTTATATTTTAGTTGTTAAAAATATATATTGCATCCAACATAGTAGTAAGCAAGAATATATTATGATACCGGATATTACACTGAAAATAACAAAGCAGGTGCGAAGTACATAGAATCCAACGCCAAATCTAGATGGCGGTTAGTTACCATATTCTTCCAAAGGAAAATTCCACGAGAATCTTAGGAAAACAACCAAGATTATCTGCTTAGGTCCATGATGATCCATGGATACTCTAGGGGCACACCCTCTTTATTTAGGACATCATCATGCCAAGCCAGAACCCACAATATATAAAAATCCCAGGTGCAATCTTACGGATACACTTCGAAGACAACACGAGCTCCAAATTTCTTTAGAATCTTATAGTCGCTGAACCCTGCTTTCATGAAGATCTCACGAAATTCATTTTCATCCCGTTGGCGTCCTTTTGTCATGGTCATCATGCCAATGTCCATTAAGAGGTGAGTTTCCAACAAAGGCCCAGAGTAGTCAATCACAATATCACCAACGATAACTTTTCCGCCATCCTCTTGTGAAGGAATCGCCTTCCGGCATTGAGCCAGGATCTTCACGCAGTCCTCATCAGTCCAGTGGTGCAGCACAAGCTATATATCATGCATAGATTGGACACACAGTTACACACTTATGCAATGATTTGTAACTGAATCATGAAGTGAACATTCAGGCTAGAGCTTTATTTGAGCTTGCAAGTTATAAACATTAAAGTGAGAAAATTTAGATTTGTCATTTAGGTGTGTTAGAAAATGGTAGTGGTTCAAATTAAAGTTCAATTTCATACTGCAATTGTAATGGTTTGAATGAATTAATTCATGTAATTTTGAGTAGCCAAGCCACAGTATAATTAAAATGGAATCTAATCAGGTTATTACCTTTAGCATCACAGTTTGAGCGGGTGGAATGAAGTTGAACATGTCACCTTCAACATAGTTTATCATGACACCATCAGCCGGTTTGGTGGCAGTCATCTTTGGAGGGGCCAGCACAGTGCATTTTATGTGTGGGAAGGCCTTGACAATGGCCCTGGCAAACTTGCCATCACCAGAGGTACCACAGCAGTAGGTCATCGACTGAATCCCCTCAAACAAGTCCCTGAACTCCCGCAGTGCGATCTCAATCCCAAAGTTGTCGTGGGCGTCCAAGGCTTCATTTACCGTATTGTGGTAATCTGGGTCGAGGCTCTCCAAGCTCTCATGGAACAGAGCCGCCCCATGCAGCTCCTCGAATGGCGGCGTCACCACGTCCTTCTTGAACCACTCAGCTAACCCTATCGCCGCTTCGAGGTAGCGCGTCGAGGTGCAGGCGAGCACCAGAGAGGTGTGGTTGATGTGCACCTCGTGAGGGATGCCGTCGACCAGGAGGTAGGACACGGGGTTGATGCAGTACCTCTCCTCCGCCGTGGTCTTGTCGACAGCGAACACGCCCGCCACGGCCAAGAGCCGTAGCAGGCGACGAAGGAACGGCAGCTTGGCGGAGGGGAGAGACAGCGCGGTGATCAGGTCGGCGAGTGAGGCAGCCCCGCCATGGCGGTGGATCACCGTGGGGATGCCAAGCTCCACGGCGCACCTCAGTGACATGGGCGTCAGGTAGGAGAGGCTGACCCGCCATAGGTCGGCTTGTGCCTGCAGTAGCTCAGCGTCGCTAGGGCGGACTACATTGGAAGCCTGAGAAGCCATTGCTCTGCGCAGCAAACTTTTAGCTAGAGTGCTTCTGTATGTGTGAGCTGCTGATATACGTTGGGCAATGTGGGATTTATATACTATATAGCAATAGACGCATGTACCTTATGTCGGTGCTCTCCATGCCTAATTGCCTATGATTGGTGCAAAGTGATTATTACATTACAGACTAGCAGCAATCAAACCAAGAATAAATAATGATGGAAGCATTTGTGTGGATGAGGAAGCAGTGAGCTAAATCCTGTATATTTTTAGATGATGGGACTTACAGACACCTACTTCCTCCATCAAAAAGAGTTTTTGTTATGGGTTCGTGCTGACTATATTTAAAAAAATATATATTATTAGGATTTGTATCTTTAAATAAATTTATTATGAAAATGTATCCATGATTTTATCCAATGATACTAATTACATATACCATAAAAATTAATATTCTATTATATATATTTGGTCAAATTTGCAAACGATTGACTCCTCAAGAAGTGAGAACGATACTCTTAGGAGATGGACGGAGTACTCCACTACACCTATAATGCCTAAAACTGTTTTTTTTACAAACGTCATACCCTAGAATTGTATTCTTTTTTGATAGAGAGAATACATATTGTACTCCTATCTCGGTTTGCTACTGCTTCTTTTTTTAGCATGATTTGCTACTGCTTCTAAAGGAGCTAATTAACATATAGCTGTCAGATCTATTCTTGTACGGGCGTAAATGGTATGGATATTTTCTAACCATATGACCCAAACTGAGAAGGGGTGAATAGTGATTCAGATATCTTTTTTGAATATCTATACATTTTCTCAGGATAAGGATTCAGATAGTTTGTTTTGAATATCAGATACGAACATATAAGAATGATGTTATCCATGACATACCAGATATCCAGTCAGAGAATTCAGTTAAATATTAGATTCGAATTGCTCTATTGGATATCCATTATGTGCGCACTGCAAGCCCAAGATGAATTTCGGCTCTAAAAAGGTAAATGATGTAGTTCTGGTTATCTTTTTTAAAGTCTATGACCATGTATGAAGTATGAACTAAGTTCAAAGTCAACTTCACCAAAATATTATAGTATACTCAAAGCAAATTGAGAAATACAAATAGTCGATAAATGCAAACTTTCTTTTGCAAAAGTTTAAAAATTGAAAATAACTTGAGGAATTTGACTTAAAATGTTTACATGTTGTATCCATAATAATTTATATAATTATGTACTTGACTTGACGAACAGAAAATATTTGATAGATATTGTTGTTGTCTTTACTTAAAATCCGAACAAATATTCATGACCAACTTTATCTGGATCCGGCTTGTTTTATATTTGATACATATATATTCGTATGTAATGGAAACAATTTCACATTTGTCTTCATATCTAATTTCAAAGATACGTTGGGCAATAGGGGACTTATATACTCCATCCGCCCAGGAAAAAATGATACTCTTGGAACGCAAGGTGAAACTACCATTATGTCTGTGCCGTCCATGCCTATGTGAAAGAAGTGATTATTACATCACAGACTAGCAACAATCAAATCAAGAATAAACAATTCTAAGATCTCACTCTGTGAATAACAATGGAAGGAGTTGTGTGGATGAGGAAGCAGCGAGATAATGTATTTTAGATGATGGGACTCACATATAACTACTCCACTACACCTGCAATGCCACGTTGTATTCTTTTTGGAACAAACCCATCTCCAATAATTCCATAGAAAATTATTGGGTAAACCCATGATTTTTCCATGTGGCTAAAAACATCAGGAGTACATTTGTTTGGTTTATCCAATAGTTTCCAAAATCTTGCTTCTAAAATATAAAAGATATATAATTTTGCATCAGCAATCCCGAACTATTTCGAAATCACCCTAACTACTTTTATATTTTCTTTCTCTCTTAAATATTTACATTGGGAACCTTATCATACACCTTATTCTTCATCACATCCTTCCACCTCTATACTGGCCGATTGATACATGCACATATATTGCGCGCAATTGGATCCGTTTTCCCGTGTGGATAGATTGGGAGTTCAGATTGGGACTCGTTGGAGAATAATTTTTTTCAATCTTGCTAAAAAATCATGATTGGAAGTGGATTTTGGAAACCATTGGAGATGCTAGACCCTAGAATTGCATTCTTTTCTAGATAGAGGGAATACATATTGTATCTCGGTTTGCTACTTCTTCCGGAGGAGCTAGCATAGCTTTTCAGATCATCTCTTGTAGGGGCATAAATGGTATGGATAAATCCAAACTAAGAAGGTGGTTCAAATAACTTTTCTGAATATATAAACATTTTCTCAGATACCGAATATGGATTCGGTAGTTTTGTTTTGAAATGAGATACGAATATAAGAATGGTATTATCCATGCCCCTCCAGATATCCAATCAGAGAATTCAGTCAAATATTAGATTTGAATTGTTCTATTGGATATCCATTATGTGCGCACTGCAAGCCAAAGATGAATTTCAGCTCAAAAAAGGTAAATGATGTAGTTTTGGTTATCTTTTTTTATAGTATATAGACGATATATGAAGTATGAAGATAGTGTTTGATTCAACCTGTGATAACGCAAATAGTAATGAAACCAGGTTGCACTGTGATCAGAGATGGGATCAATCATTACGATCTCTGTTTGGTTTTGAAATGTAACGGTATCAGATGATCCTCTCGATCTGGTTGATGCTCTCTAGGTCTGCACTTGCTTCTTTCGATCTAGCTGCTGCAGGAAGCAGGACCCCTGGGCGATGCTAGCATGGGCATCTGGTGCCCCGCCGCTGCCGCCACCACATAGTGCCTCCGGTGGGATGATGGAGAGTAGTGGCGGAGTGAAGGGGGGCTGAGGGGGGGGGGGGGGCACCCCAACCTTCCCATGCACTCTATATTATACATTCTTAATTAGCTATTTCATAATGCAATTAGCTAGTTAATGATACTATTTGTGCGGTGATTTCTTGTCCTCCCTCTATGTTAATCTCTAATAGTATCTTATACAATTAACAATTAGGTTTTTCTATTATTTTTTCACCCTTTTTGTTTTTTATTATTGCGTACCAAACATGTAGTCGTTCTCACTGTACATATCTTATTAGCTAGTTAATTTTAATTAATGATTTGCTTGTTTTCTCTCTCCCAAATGATCTCCAATAGCATCTATATTATCTAGGATTAGCCCTCCTGTTGATTATCTGTTTTGTTCTTGTTATTACCATGATTCATTTTCTAGCCTAAGAATTAGATTGATCAGGTGAAGGTCATAGATCTATACCTAATTAATTTTGTTTCTTTTTTCCTATAATATTCAGTGTTTTTTAGCTTTCTAACTTTCTCTTTGCTCTTGTTCTATATGTATTTCATCATAAATGATTGTTGTTGGTTCCATGCCGACCCTGACCAAATTCTGGCTCCACCCCTGATGGAGAGGATCCCTCCCTCGGTATCCGTGGTGGTTGAAGGACCTGCCACCATTACCACGAGACAGGGAGAGCTGCTTGCACAGGAGAATGACGCCCAGAGTGCTCCATTATTCTTCAAGGCAGCGGTATCGTGAAGCGCTAAAACACCGACCAGCAGGCGCAATTAGCTCAGTCCGGTATCCAATTGTGCGATAGCCGATTACCGACAATACTGAACCAAAGGTGTGTAACAAGATTGCTTACCCTATGTAATCGAATAGCATTATAAAATGCCGAACCAAACATTAAGTTCAAATCAACTTCACCAAAATATTATAATATAATTAAATTAAACTGAGAAATACAAATAGTCGGTAAATGCAAACTTTCTTTTGCAAAAGTTTAAATTTTGAAAATGCCTTGAGCAATTTTATTAAAATTTATACATGTGTTTTATTCATAATTTATATAATTCTGTTGTGGCCTTTACTCAAAATCCTAACAAATATTCATGATCGATGTTTTCTGGATCAAGTTTGTTACATATTTGATAATACATATTTAATGGTATGTAATGGAAACATATTCGCATATATATTCCTATCTAATTTCAAAGAAAAATACAAAAATAAATATTGTGTAACTAATATTCACACCTACCAGTCGGCTACCACATGGAGCACGCGGTGGGCGTGCAACATGGTGTGTCTCATAGGCAGGGGACACGGTGACTGATAGGTGAGAAATGATAAGCAATTGATGACTGCGATTTGTATTTAATGGCGCATGGGTCAGGATTGTTGTGCTAGTGAAAATGACTGCAATTTTGCTTTAAAAAATGGAGCGCGTGTTTGGCGTGGAAATTAATAATCTGCATGATGGCACCGCATAGGCAGACGAGAAATCAACCAAGTCCATGTCTTCGTGCTATATAAACACCGGAAAGAAAATAAACCAACATTTGTTTTGAGCTGGTAAACTTCATTTTTAATTTACTACTCCTCGCCTGCGTGCATAATTAAAACAATTCAACTTTTGACTAGGTCAATTTCAGTAGAGTTTCGTAGTGTTATTTTCAAAAATATAATATTAGATACAGTGCAATAAAATATAGACGAAATAACCATTCTCAACGCAAGGTTCCATTGTATTGTTTGATTGGCAACTCCATAACCCATCTAGAGTTCAGAACCAAGCAAAGGGAGTTTCATTTATTTGAAACCCAATTCTTCTCTATTTTTTAAAAATGTTGCTATCACATCAAAATACTTATGTAGCAACCTATTAAATACATATACTCATAGAGACTGGCCTTAATTATAAAGAAACTTTATGGTGCTTGAAAATAATAATAAGGATCTGTTAATCTAGATTCAGTACCTTAAACTTCTCCAAACCGGGCATTTAACCCCTTCAAGTGGTATTGGCTCCTGGTTTTACCGACGTGGTAGTCGAAACTTGGGTGTGTGACCTGGCAATCGCGAGCCGGCCCACGAGTGCCATTGTCGAGGCAGAGGCGGAAGATGTGGAAGCAGATCGATCGAGGCGGTGCTCGCTAGCGAAGACGCCACAGACGGCAGCGCAAACT